TACAAAAAGTAACCTAGTCATCACACCAACAGAAATAAACCATAGCTTTAGTAAATGTCAAACTGTTTTTTTTTCCTAACACAAAATTTTTTCCGGCGGTCAGAATAGATGATTAATAAATATAAATTATAGAAAGTAACGTTGTAGTTAACATTTTTGATTACAAAAATTAAAATCTCAAAACTTACTCCACTTAGGTATAGTGTATGTAACATACAATTAGCCTAAAATTTAACAAAAATCTCAAAAACTTAATAAAATACAGGGTGTTGCATTTGAAATATGAAAATTTTCACCTCTTCCGGTGTAACCACAAGTACCCGGAACTTGAAAATATTTTAGTTAAAAAGCTGGCATCAAACATCACAAGTCTTGATAACTTTCAAAATTCGCTATACAATTAATTTCTTGAAGGATCCTTGTGGAAATATCACCAATTATTAATTAAAGTATCCTCTTTTTAAATGCATTTTGAAAAATCGCTTTTAGTTTTTGAGAAATAAATTTTTCGGCAATTTTATCGAATTTATTAATTTTCGCCGATTAAGTTTTAAAAATTCGTATAAAATCCATTTCTTGGAATATGAGTATGAAAATTTTCCAAACTGTTAAAAAGAGTGTTCTGTTTCCAATGAACCAACACGTTATGAAAAACAATTTCTAGTTTTTGAGAAAACAATATTTGAAGGTTTGATAAAATTTCTGATGTTGCAATTTTCATCAATAATTTTCAAAATTCACTATAAAATTAATTTCTTGAAGAATCCTTGTGGAAATATCACCAATTAAATTAATTAAAATTAATGAAATTGAAATTAATTAAAGTATCCTCTTTTTAATGCAAAAATCCGTTTTGAAACATCGCTTTTAGTTCTTGAGATATAAATTTTTGAAATAATCGACAATTTTTTCGAATTTTGCAATTTTCGCCGATTAAGTTTTAAAAATTCGTATAAAATCCACTTCCTGGAATATGAGCATGAAAATTTCCTAAAGTGTTAATAAAAGTGTCCTCTTTCCAACAAACCAATGCGTTTTGAAAAATAACTTTTAGTTTTTGAGAAAACAATATTTGAAGTTCTGATAACATTTTCGATGTTGCAATTTTCATCGATAATTTTCAAAATTCGCTATAAAATTAATTTCTTGAGGTATCCTTGTGGAAATATCACCAATTATTAATTAAAGTATCAAAGTTTAGAGCAACTGTTACAAATTTTAACTTTCTAGCTAATAATGTTTATACAAATGAAGAAATCCTTAAGAAGGAATTCCAAATGAAGAAAAGTTCTTACTTCTTCTATTCTCATTTACTTCCGATGACAAAAAGTAAATTTAGAAGAATCTCGTCGGGACATCCTGTATTTACATTACTAAATAACCCGTTGACCTTGAAGGTATCTTTTAAGAAGAGCTACTCACCAAGTGCTCCTCATATCTCGTTTAACACCCTACCATGAAGAACCAGTTGAAATCCTTCGAGATTAAAGCAAATTTAATTTAGTTTTAATGTCCTAAAAATAATTCCTTAATTTTCAAACACCACGTTTAATATACAGGTGTTTATTAAACATACGGCAAAAATTTAAGGGGTTATTCTTGCTATTCTAAGAATATTTTGTACTTTAATGAAACAAAATTTTCAGCAGAACCATTCTTCAGAAAGGAAATACAGTTTTTTTATTAATATTCTGTTATTTTAATTGAATACACCTCGCGATTGATGTTTAAGTATCTGTCGAATGTATCGAAACTGACGAATTTGACGTGAATTGTCAGTGTTTAATTCTTAATCTATTGCTAATAAAGTCCTCTGTCATGAATCGCTATACGAACGACAGTTCTTGACAGTAACATATGGAGAGTGCTGGATTTACTACCCCAGACTTTTTAAACTCCCTGGATTTTTTTCTATGGGGCCATCTTAAATCTTTAGTTTGCACTACTCTAGTGAAAAATATGGAAGACTTGCAAAATCGTACAACTGCTGGCTGTAATTGAATAAGATCATCCATCAACGATTCTGGTGTTTTTGAAAGGATTCGGCAATCGATGAGGAGAAGATTGGATTCTTGCATCTTAGCTAGAGGTGATCATTTTCAACAGTTATTGTACAGTGTGTTAATTAATTATCGTACCCGACGTCATCATTGCAAGTATGCAACCCGTTATTATTGCAAATCGCGTATTACAATACCAACACTGTGATATTGGTTGCATACTTACAATGATACGGTACGATAATTAATTAACACAGTGTGGATTAGGATGCTTATATTTGTAATTTTTAATAATAAAATGTTGTTGAAATTATCACAGGATAAAATATTCTTAGATTAGTACAAAGAATAACTCATTGAATTTTTGCCGCATGTTTAATAAACACCCTGTATAACAACTTGATCAACTTAAAAAAATATACTTCTCAAAAACTACTTGAGATATCACAAAATGATGAGCATCCAAGGGAGCCAAATATGTAATCGAAACTTATTGTTAGTAAAAAGTATTGCAAAACATATTTTTATCATTTTTTTATTACTCTATTTCAAATTCAATTTATTTTATCTACAAAGGTAGTACAATTCGCTACAAAAGAAAAGAACATAGACCAATACAAAAACACAGTACAATGCAAAATCTCTAGACTACAGAGTCAAACAAATTTTCGCAAGTTAGAAATTCGTCAATCGAATAAAAACATTGCTTAATCAACTCTTGCTTAATTTCTTTATAAAATTTCATACAATTCAAAGACTTTATACAATTCGGTAACTTGTTATAAAATTTCGTGCCGTGATAATCAACACCTTGTTGTGTTGTTTTAAGGCGATGGGACGGTGCTGAGATATAAATCGTTCCTTAACTCTTAAAAATACAGTTGGTACGATTTTTTTTTTAATTAATTTTCCGTTGTATATCAAATTTATATATTTCCTCACTTATACGTTTTTTTCGTAAATTTTTATAATCCTACATCAACGTTTTTATATTTTATCAGAAACTGCAGCCTCTTAGCATAAATTTAAGATGTAAATTGTTTCCTAACTCTTAATAATGCTGTTGGTACGATTTTAAAAAAATGATTTTCCGTTTATATATAATTTTGACATTTCCTCACTTAAACACTTTTTTCTGGAAATTTCTATAATCCTACATCAACGTTTTTATATCTTAACATAAACTGCAATCTTTTCGCTACAATTTAAGATATAAATCGCTTCTTTACTCTTAAAAATGCAGTTGGTACGATTAAAAAAAAAAATGATTTTTCGTTTATATATAATTTTGACACTTCCTCACTTAAACACTTTTTTCGGGAAATTTTTATAATCCTATATCAACGTTTTTATATCTTAACATAAACTGCAATCTGTTAGCTACAATTTAAGATATAAATCGCTTCTTTACTCTTAAAAATGCAGTTGGTACAATTTAATAAAAAATTGATTTTTCGTTTATATATAATTTTGACACTTCCTCACTTAAACACTTTTTTCTGGAAATTTTTATGATTCTACATCAATGTTTTTATATCTTAACATAAACTGCAATCTTTTAGCTACAATTTAAGATATAAATCGCTTCTTTACTCTTAAAAATGCAGTTGATACGATTTAAAAAAAAATTGATTTATCGTTTATATATAATTTTGACACTTCCTCACTTAAACACTTTTTTCTGGAAATTTTTATAATCCTACATCAACGTTTTAATATCTTAACATAAACTGCAATCTTTTCGCTACAATTTAAGATATTAATCGCTTCTTTACTCCTAAAAATGAAGTTGGTACGATTAAAAAAAAATTGATTTTTCGTTTATATATAATTTTGACACTTTCTCACTTAAACACTTTTTTCGGGAAATTTTTATAATCCTACATCAACGTTTTTATATCTTAACATAAACTGCAATCTTTTAGCTACAATTTAAGATATAAATCGCTTCTTTACTCTTAAAAATGCAGTTGGTACGATTTAAAAAAAAAAATTGATTTTCCGTTTATATATAATTTTGACACTTCCTCACTTAAACACTTTTTTCTGGAAATTTTTATGATTCTACATCAACGTTTTTATATCTTAACATAAACTGCAATCTTTTCGCTACAATTTAAGATATAAATCGCTTCTTTACTCTTAAAAATGCAGTTGATACGATTTTAAAAAAAATTGATTTTTCGTTTATATGTAATTTTGACACTTCCTCACTTAAACACTTTTTTCTGGAAATTTTTATTACTCTACATTAACGTTTTTATATCTTAACATAAACTGTAATCTTTTAGCTACAATTTAAGATATAAATCGCTTCTTTACTCTTAAAAATGCAGTTGGTACGATTTAAAAAAAAATAGATTTTTCGTTTATATATAATTTTGACACTTCCTCACTTAAACACTTTTTTCTGGAAATTTTTATGATTCTACATCAACGTTTTTATATCTCATCATAACCTGCAATCTTTTAGCTACAATTTAAGATATAAATCGCTTCTTTACTCTTAAAAATGCAGTTGGTACGATTTTTAAAAGAAATTGATTTTTCGTTTATACATAATTTTGACACTTCCTTATTTAAATACTTTTTTCGTGAAATTTTTATAATCCTACATCAACGTTTTTATATCTTAATATAAACTGCAATCTTTTAGCTACAATTTAAGATATAAATCGCTTTTTCACTCTTAAAAATGCAGTTGGTACGATTTAAAAAAAAAATTGATTTTTCGTTTATATATAATTTTGACACTTCCTCACTTAAACACTTTTTTCTGGAAATTTTTATAATCCTACATCAACGTTTTTATATCTCATCATAACCTGCAATCTTTTAGCTACAATTTAAGATATAAATCGCTTCTTAACCTTTAAAAATGCAGTTGGTATGATTTTTCAAAAAATTGATTTTCTGTTTATATATAATTTTGACACTTCCTCACTTAAATTCCATATCAACTATTAAAAATGCAGTTTGTATAAAAATCAAAATGATATCTAAATTTGAATTAATTCTATTAATTCACCAAAACATTTAAAACAAAAATTAATATGGTAAGTTTAATCAAACGTTAACTTCTTAAACGTCCCAACAATCCCAAATAATTCCTCAAAGTGTTTCGGAGTTTCCTTCCGTTTCGTTTCATCAACTTTCAACTCTTCCTCTTTAATTAACACATCTTCGTGTTGCTTTATATTTTTTATTTGCTCCTCTAAAATAAAAAAACCAAATTTATTTAATTCTTTTTAATTAATTACAATCATCTCACCATGTAATTCTTTAATACTCGCAACTCCACCTCCATAATCGCTGGGTAAAACATCTTTCTCAACATATTTAAAGATATCCTCAAGTTTTTTGTGGCAATGAATTTGGTCGACCAATTCTTTCTTCAAAAACGGTTTAATCATGTTTAATAACTTCTCAGTTATCGGGTTAACGTTGATTATATGGATTTGTTTTAACCGAATCGGAGCCGCTTCTTGCAGAAAATAGAAAAAAATCTTTAAAATCATCGGTGTTAATTTAACCATGTGCCCCAATTGCAACCCGGCCCCATCTATCACAATTAAATGCCCCATTTGGGGGCCATACTGAAAATTATTAAGCACGACCGCCATAATAACCATCTTTATGATATCGGGGAAACAAAATTTATCGGGAGAATTATTTTCGAGTTTTGCGTAAAAAATTTGATACCCGTTTTTAGTTAATTTCGGCAAAGTCCCCCCAAAACTAAAATTAATTACTTAAAAATTAATAATAATTAATGAATTAATTAATCCTCACCAAGTTTTTAATTGATACTCCAAACTTTCATTCTTCAAACTCCTCGATGAAAAGATTTCGGGGTAACGCGACTTAAAAGTGTAATAATTTTCGATGCAAAGCTTCGTCGGCTCAATCCGGTAATAACAGCTACTCAAAAATGAGATTATTTGAAAATCTAAAATTAATAATATAATTAAATCAAACAATTTCGAAATTAATTAACTACTTGAAATTGTGGGTAAATGCGCTTCTTTTAACATCCACTCCCGTAACGGCTCGACATCCTCCTTTTTTAAATTATTATCCCTCGAATACAACACATTCTCATCCGAAATACACTTTATACACATTATTACGTTGTGTTTGAACGATTCGATTTGAATGTTTAGTTTTTATTGGATTTTAATGATATAAATAACCGAATTAATTGGTTTAATTAATTTGACTACAAAGGTAAAGGTTATAACGATTATTTAAACACGTTTTTGTTATTAAAATACATCCACTTTTTCTTCCTAATTTATTAGCTTTAAATTTAGATATAAATCATTCATAACCTAATCGTGGAGTAAAACGCAAATGATTTTAATTAACAATGATTAATTGTTGTTGGCAGCAAGAGCTCTTCAACACTTCAACAAGTGGGCCTATTATATCTGCAAACTTCTATTCAACATCTTGAAGTCTGCCAAGGGTTATTGTTGCTCTTAAAGCAATGCATGGAAATTAAGTAATTATGTTTGGGGTATTAAAAATAGAATAAATTTGCTTTAAAATGCTTTTTAACTCGTTGTTATATCTCAATTACTTATTGAGATACGATTTTTTCAATTCGATGTTGACACATTAAAAAGTATTAAATGTGCTGAGTTAAATTCAAAACACCAAAATGAACTGAATGGGTTAAATCGAAGAAATTCTTTTTAGCACATTGAAACTAGATTCCATTTGCTTTTAAATGATATATAACTCGTTGTGATATCTCAACTAGTTTTTGATAAATAATTTTTTAAATTGATTAAGTTACCTTGTTGAGTATTAAACGTGGCGTTTGCGCTTAAAGGGTTATAACAAAGCAATGTTTGGAAATTAAGGAATTATTTTTGAGGTACTAAAAATACAATAAATTGGCTTTAAAATGCCTTTTAACTCGTTGTTATATCTCAATTACTTATTGGGATACTTTTTTTTTTAATTCGATGTTTACACATTAAAAAGTATTAAATGTGCTGAGTTAAATTCAAAGCGCCAAAACGAACTGAATGGGTTAAATCGAAGAAATTCTTTTTAGCACATTGAAACTAGATTACATTTGCTTTAAAATGATATATATCTCGTTGTGATATCTCAACTAGTTTTAGATAAATAATTTTTTAAATTGATTAAGTTACCTTGTTGAATATTAAACGGGGTGTTTGCGCTTAAAGGGTTATAACAAAGCAATGCTTGGAAATTAAGGAATTATTTTTGGGATATTAAAAATAGAATAAGTCTGCTTTAAAATGCTTTTTAACTCGTTGTCATATCTCAATTACTTATTGAGATACGATTTTTTTAATTCGATGTTTACACATTAAAAAGTATTAAATGTGCTGAGTTAAATTCAAAGCGCCAAAATGAACTGAATGGGTTAAATCGGAGAAATTCTTTTTAACACATTGAAACTAGATTATATTTGCTTTAAAATGATATATATCACGTTGTGATATCTCAACTACTTTTGGATAAAGAATTTTTTAAAGTTGATTAAGTTACCTTGTTGGATATTAAACGTGGCGTTTGCGCTTAAAGGGTTATAGCAAAGCAATGCTTGGAAATTAAGGAATTATTTTTGAGGTATTAAAAATACAATAAATTTGCTTTAAAATGCTTTTTAACTCGTCGCTATATGTCAACTAGTTATTGAGATACGATTTTTTTTATTCGATGTTTACACATTAAAAAGTATTAAATGTGCTGGGTTAAATTCAAAGCGCCAAAATGAACTGAATGGGTTAAATCGAAGAAATTCTTTTTAGCACATTGAAACTAGATTACATTTGCTTTAAAATGATATATATCTCGTTGTGATATCTCAACTAGTTTTAGATAAATAATTTTTTAAATTGATTAAGTTACCTTGTTGAATATTAAACGGGGTGTTTGCGCTTAAAGGGTTATAACAAAGCAATGCTTGGAAATTAAGGAATTATTTTTGGGATATTAAAAATAGAATAAGTCTGCTTTAAAATGCTTTTTAACTCGTTGTCATATCTCAATTACTTATTGAGATTTTTTTTTTAATTCGATGTTTACACATTAAAAAGTATTAAATGTGCTGAGTTAAAGTCAAAGCGACAAAACGAACATAATGGATTAAATCGAAGAAATTCTTTTTAGCACATTGAAACTAGACTACATTTGTATTAAAATGATATATATCTCGTTGTAACATCTCAACTGGTTTTTGATAAATAATTTTTTAAAGTTGATTAAGTTACCGTGTTGAGTATTAAACGTGGCGTTTGCGCTTAAAGAGTTATAGCAAAGCAATGCTTGGAAATTAAGCAATTATTTTTGAGGTATTAAAAATACAATAAATTTGCTTTAAAATGCATTTTAACTCGTTGTTGTATCTCAATTAGTTATTGAGATACGATGTTTTTGATTCAACGTTGACACATTGAGAAGCATAAAATGTGCTGAGTTAAATTCAAAGCACTAAAATGAACTGAATGGGTTAAATCGAAAAAATTTTTTTTAGCACATTGAAACTAGATTATATTTGCTTTAAAATGATGTATATCTCGTTGTGATATCTCAACTAGTTTTTGATAAATAATTTTTTAAAGTTGACTAAGGTACCTTGTTGGATATTAAACGTGGCGTTTGCGCTTAAAGGGTTATAACAAGGCAATGCTTAGAAATTAAGGAATTGTTTTTGGGATATTAAAAATAGAATAAATTTGCTTTACAATGCTTTTTAACCCGTTGTTATATCTCAATTACTTATTGAGATACGATTTTTTTGATTCAACGTTGACACATTGAGAAGCATAAAATGTGCTTAGTTAAATTCAAAGCGCCAAAATGAACTGAATGGGTTAAATTGAAGAAATTCTTTTTAACACATTGAAACTAGATTATATTTGCTTTAAAATGATATATATCTCGTTGTGATATCTCAACTAGTTCTTGATAACTAATTTTTTAAAGTTGATTAAGTTACCTTGTTGAATATTAAACGTGGCGTTTGCGCTTAAAGGGTTATAACAAAGCAATACTTGGGAATTAAGGAATTATTTTTGAGGTATTAAAAATAGAATAAATTTGCTTTAAAATGCTTTTTAACTCATTGTTATATCTCAATTACTTATTGAGATACGATTTTTTTTATTCGATGTTTACACATTAAAAAGTATTAAATGTGCTGAGTTAAATTCAAAGCGACAAAACGAAGTTAATGGGTTAAATCGAAGAAATTCTTTTTAGCACATTGAAACTAGATTACATTTGCTTTAAATTGATATATATCTCGTTGTGATATCTCAACTAGTTCTTGATAAATAATTTTTTAAATTGATTAAGTTACCTTGTTGTGTATTAAACGTGGTGTTTGCGCTTAAAGGGTTATAACAAAGCAATGCTTGGAAATTAAGGAATTATTTTTGGGGCATTAAAAATAGAATAAATTTGCTTCAAAATGCTTTTTAACTCGTTGTTGTATCTCAATTAGTTATTAAGATACGATTTTTTAACGGTTGATTAAAACACCAAAAATTATTTATTCGATTAAGTTAATTTATACAAAAATTAAATTTCTTATCTTTAAACATTAAAAACACCTTATCATTATTCACTTGATATTTATAAAATTTACAACTCGAATTTATTGTAATTATAGGATACACCACCGATTCTGTAGAGATCGGAATTGAATAATCGAAATTCTCATAAAAGTGAAGAAATGAGATGTTAATACATCGTAACAAAAATTTGGAATATTCAGGTTCGTTTCGATGTTGGTTTTCTTGATAAAAAATGGTTTCTCTCGCAATGTTAGGTATTTTCTCATTTCTTAAAGTATTAATATATCCTAATGTTGGAAATATATCAGGAGAAAAAAAATAAAATCCTTTACAAAAGAGTCCCCAATCAAGAGTGTTATCTTCAATTGCCTTGTATTCATTAATTCTTAATGTGCCGATTATATGTGTACAAACCAACATTTCCATTCTTATTCTTATCTTGGGGTCGGAACACGAATAAGATGAATCATAAAAGGGGAACTTATTTTTTTTATTCTTATTTCTTTTCCCCCGATTCCTTTTCTTTTTTAAATTTGAATTAGTACCAATAATTCCTTCAGGTTTTTGATTGTCTTCACATTGTATGCGAACCGCTCTAACTTTAAGTTCTTCTTTGCTTAACGGAGGTAATTGATATCTTTCGTATTCCTCATCTAAATCACTTTCCCCACTATCACTACTATCACTTTCATTGTAACTTTCTTCATCGTCCGATATTCTACGATGATTATTGAAATACTTTACGATTTGAAGGTCGGTTAATTTGCTCATGATGCTTCGTTTTGAACCGTATTCATTTATTATTTCACATTTAATAGTTTAAATCTTTTGTTTGATAACAACTTATCTTATTAATATATTGATATTTGTTTGAAAAGTTTAGATTAGAATTTATAATTTTCTTTTTTTGTTTTGGGGAATTAATAAAAGTAATGCAAATATAGATAATTTTATTTTTATCATTTTGTGTTAATAGGAGATAACGATAATGCTCAAGATGCTCAACGATAACAAAATTTTGAGTTGATGGGTGAAGAGTTTGATAAAGTTTATGATAATAGTCATAATCAATAATAAGAAGTCAATATCCTGCAAAATATCCAAAGTTTCCTTTCAACTTCAGCTTCATTTAATGAAAATGAAAGAGAAAAAGATTTTGAAAATGACAATTCGGTTCTAGGCAACTTATCTTTTTCGAACTGCTCCATTGTGTTCAATATTTGTAAAAATAATGATAAATAAATAAAAAGAATTTTTGTTAATTTTGTTCATCTTTGTTTTTTTTAAGAATGTAACGAATTAAGTTGTGTCCTCAAGGATTAATAAGTAAACAAATGATATGGCAACTTTACGATACTTGTAACCATGAATGCAATTTCATCTTACTTGTTAGCGAAAAAAGGGAAATTAAATATAATTTTTTTTTAATCATACCAACCGCATTTTAAAGAGTTAAGATACGATTTATATCTTAAATTGATAACTGCAATCTTTTAGCTACAATTTAAGATATAAATCGCTTCTTCACTCTTAAAAATGCAGTTGGTACGATTTAAAAAAAAAATTGGTTTTTCGTTTATATATAATTTTGACACTTCCTCACTTAAACACTTTTTTCGGGAAATTTTTATAATCCTACATCAACATTTTTATATGTGAACATAAACTGCAATCTTTTAGCTACAATTTAAGATATAAATCGCTTCTTTACTCTTAAAAATGCAGTTGGTACGATTTTTAAAAGAAATTAATTTTTCGTTTATATATAATTTTGACACTTCCTCACTTAAACACTTTTTTCTGGAAATTTTTATGATTCTACATCAACGTTTTTATATCTTAACATAAACTGCAATCTTTTCGCTACAATTTAAGATATAAATCGCTTCTTTACTCTTAGAAATGCAGTTGGTACGATTAAAAGAAAAAAATTGATTTTTCGTTTATATATAATTTTGACACTTCCTCACT